TTCTTTGATATTTTCCTCTCTTTATTCTCGGTTTTCTACTGGAATTAATGCACTTCCGTAATCCGTAGCCACCATTCAAATTTCTTTGATAATTACCTTGAAATGGGATCAGAGAAATGGAATGTAATTTCCTTGAATTTAAACTTTAGAAACATCTAAAATACTAGAGTTTTCAATTGTTCCAAATTAGCCGTTCTCACGATGACAAATATTCGCCATTTTGGGTGGCATCTAATTCTCGTTAACCGATTAATGCAGACAATCAGAGGCACACAATTAAAACAATGTGAACTTGAAGCATTTTTTCGAAATAAACCAACCATTTACAAAGCAAATTTACTATCATTCGTCCAAAAAATTATAAAAAGTCATTGTTATGTAGATGTACTTATCTCGCAGACTTCGGCTGAAATTAAGCCACCCAAAAATGGCGGCGTGAGAAACGCTAATTGGATATCCTTCTTTTTTCCTGCCAGAGCCCAAGCAGTTTCCTTTTGCCAGGAATCATCCTGGCTCCTCTTGACCTCCCCACCTTAAAAGAAAAGTTCTTGGGGGCCGGCCAGGACATGCCACTTTCGTATTATTCCACAAATAGCTACTTTATAATTCTGGCGACAACGTTTCCACAGCATAAATATTGAATTGCATTTTTACCACAAAAGTGACAAAACTACACAGTTATTCAAAACTGCAGAGTGACATAGACTATTCTTTTTGCAATCGACTGCCAGTGTATTAAAATCAGTGCAGTATTTGAACAGAAAATTGAACAAAAATAAACTGTATTTCGGTAGTACGGTACGACACGTTTTCCAAAAATATGGGGGTCCTTTTAATATATGTAGTCTCCCTGGCAGTTATGCGAAATGTTGAAATTTAGAATGCATCTCGGCATCTGTAATGTATTATGAAAATCATCTGCATGTCTCTTTTCAGCTCGAATATGAAATCATGAATCTGAAAATGAAATGGTTTGTCTCATCGAGTTATCATCAATGATCAATCTCAGTAGCATGCCCGTTCGCAGGTTACATGTTGACGCGCGTGGGCCATTCCTGGGCACCAGTCTCAGTTTTGGCGCGAAGGTCCACCATACTTGCGGGAAAGTTAATAGAAAATAATATTCTGTGAAATTATCTTGTAAACTGTTTATAAACTATCGAATATTTCCTACCAAAATGAGTGGTATGCCTAAAATAAACGCATCTATGTTACCAGAAAACGTCGGGAAACTGGTTTGTTTAGTCGGCAAAATTACACAAGTAAGTAACAGTGTTGTTCTGTTAATAGGGTTTTTTGTAGATGAAATTTCAGGAGGAAACTACAGTATAGATATTTCTGAATTATACAGATATTAAACACGATGGCGAGCCGCGAGGTCTATAAACATAAAACATATGTTCTGTGGAGCGCTATGCCCAAAATTTATATGTTTATAATAGTGTTTAACCATAGTTGTATTAAAGTTGTCATGGTCGTTTGATACTGTATTTCAAAGACAGTTGATCAAACCTTATAAATGAGCTTGTTCCTTCTATAGGATTATATAAGTTTTATATAATAATGCCAGTACAGTACAGTATGTGTATGCCAGTTTCGGGTCATTTCAGGTTTGAACTGCTATATCTTCCTTTTCAGGAAAGGTACGATTTTTAAATGCTCACTTGAGAATAGGAAAGGTGTTTCTTAACAATATTTCAAAAGATTGACTTTTCTTACCTTTCACTCTTAGAATTATTTATATTTTTAAGAATCATTTTAGGTGCCCAGTATCGGGTCAACTGCACCAGTATCGGGTCGCTTCAAGTTTCTTTGTTTATTGTATAAAAGCGTTTGTTTTACGGCAATTTTCGATCATTTTTTATAGTTTCAACATGTCTTAAGTTATTAACAACTTTTTTGTGAGGTTTTGACATGATATTTCCAGCTTGAAACTACCTCTTCTACACAGTTTTTGCGGAGTACGTTCTAAGCAGTGCTTCCACTTTCAAAGGTTGAAACATAGCTGACCCAAAACTGGGCCACAAAACTGAACTTTACGTAATTTCTGTGGGACCAGAATATATCTCTGAATAATTGAATGCTTAAACTTTCCATTTCATATTTATATATTCTCGGCAATAATCTATCGTTAGGACAAAATTGGGCAGTTACATGGAGAATTACATATCAATAAAACAATTTATTGTTATTAGTTAGTTTTACTGCGCAGTGAAATGAACAAATTTTAGTAAAAGAATATAAACATACCCGGACAAAAGGGATTCTTCTTTGAATACAGTTCAACTAAAAAGCCTGCGAAAACTATCATCCAAAAAAGGATTCGCCATTATATCTGTATATTTCATTTCACGTCGCTTTTTATCTCGGCGGAAAAAAATGAAATCAAATTTTTATTGACCCGCTACTGGTACTGACCTGAAACTGGGCCACATACTGTAATGCATGAGTCAATTCCTGGAGTAACCATCCCGGGAATTTGCCCGATAGACAGTTCACAGGGTCGGGAATTTGCCTTTCATATATGTGCATGGGGGCCGGGTATTGGAGTACCCTGGGGATTTGACAAATGGTTGACCAAAATCCCACCCACAAATGTTAAGGCAGCAAAACCTAGTTTCAGGCACGCATGTGGGCGCGCTGATCGTATTTTGTGCCCTCGTGGTCAAGGTGGCATGAAATTTATTGTAAGCATAGACGGATTTTGTAGGGGGGTGCTACCCCTCCAATATTAGCTATAACCCCCTCAAACAAAATGTCCACCCCTCCAAAAATATTTTCAACCCCCCCAATATTCGGCATAATAAAAAATAATTAAATAGTCCACTCCAACGTGCAGATGGTACAAAATAAACGTAGGAGTACACTCAAGTGCAACACTGTGAAACTAATCGCTCCTCGCTTGCATTCACTGGTTTATTGGAGCAATTGTAAAGTTTTGAAACTCTATTATCTCCCCTGTATAGAGTTTGTAGTGCCTTGTCATGCAAATAGCTTGCTTGCAAGAAACGTTTGGAATTTTTACGAACATTATTTTTAGTTTTTAATTCTTTTAGGAAATAGACTTGCCTAGATTTAATCTTTACGCCCCAAATATTATTTACATCAGAGTTGCATCATAAATTGTACTCGGATTCAAACGACACGTACAATGTTAATGACTTTATAAAAGTAAAAGCATATTGTGTATTGGCCTATTGGGTTTACACTTTTACAGGTTCATTTAACTTTAACTCTCTCAAGTCTCAACAGACAATCGGACACGCCAAATCCATTGATATGACACTCTTCCAAAAACTTTTTTTCGAAGCTAGAAATCATAATTTTTATTTTTAATTTTTCCAGGGATACTCTGTTTTCTGTTCTCTAGACTCCCCCTCGTGGCTCTAGTGCTCCACCCCTAGAATATAGACCTCTTACTGGGGTTTGGTGACACTTTGTGTTGCTTCAGTCACCTGCTCACGGCTCACCCCCCTAAAATTTATGGCACCACCCAGTAAAAAATATGAAAATCCGTCTATGGTGCAAAGCATAATGGGACCATCATTTAATCTGTTTAGAAATCATATATGTGGCCCATTTCTTAGAGGAATGGTAAATATCTCCTTACGAGAACAATTCATTCACAAACAGGTGCAATATTCAACTACTAAGCTTGGCACTTGTGCTTCCATCATGAATTATACGGTTTGCTCTTTGCAGGCAGTACAACACCTTATTCCTTGTTTTGTTTGTCTTCTCAGAATGTGGAAAGCATTTACTACTTGGAAAATTAATGTCCGATCCTTCACCAATACTGGGAGCAGGTTAGATATTATATAGTCGACAAGTATTAACTTTACAGGGCTCAAAATAACGTTTCATGAATCATGATACAGTGACGTCAGTGACGGTGAGCATTTAGGTTTCATTTTTTTCCGGTCAAACGCGATTTCTCACCAGTCAATTCCCACATAAAGAACAAGATACAGTACCGATTCATTGTCGCTTGATCTTCCAGGAAGCATTCTCATGGTTTTGGAGAAATCTTTCTGACAAGAGTCAAACTCACAAAAAGTTTAATACCAAGAAAACCCTTGCGTAACAGACAACATTTTGATCTCAACAAGTCTAGACAAAAATTTCATCACAGCTTGAAAGAGCATCACAAAATTAGTACTATTCCAAAGTTTCGTTGCGAAATGTTGTAAAATGCAGATAATATAGCTTTGCGAAGTTTGCCGTTTTTCAGTCATTTTGCATTATACGCGGGGGAATTGACAGACCAATACCCTTTGGGTCTGTCAATTTCCCGTTTGTAATACAAAATGACTGAAAAACGGCAAACTTCGCAAGGCTATATTATCCGCATTTTACAACATTTCGCAACGAAATTTTGGAATATTACTAATTTTGTGATGCTCTTTCAAGCTGTAATGAAATTTTTGTCTAGACTTGTTGAGATCAAAATTTTGTTTATTACGCAAGTGGTCAATTGACATAATATTTAACGGGTCCATGCACAATACGTGGAAAATCAATCTCATTCCCAAAGCCAAAATGTGAGAGCTTGACAACTGGCCTCTGTAGCTCAGTTGGTTAGAGCTCGACAACTGTCTCTCTGTAGCTCAGCTGGTTAGAGCTCGACAACTGTCTCTCTGTAGCTCAGTTGGTTAGAGCTCGACAACTGTCTCTCTGTAGCTCAGTTGGTTAGAGCTCGACAACTGTCTCTCTGTAGCTCAGTTGGTTAGAGCTCGACAACTGTCTCTCTGTAGCTCAGTTGGTTAGAGCTCGACAACTGTCTCTCTGTAGCTCAGTTGGTTAGAGCTCGACAACTGTCTCTCTGTTGCTCACTTGGTTAGAGCTCGACAACTGCCCTCTGTAGCTCAGTTGGTTAGAGCTCGACAACTGCCTCTCTGTAGCTCAGTTGGTTAGATCTCGACAACTGGCCTCTGTAGCTCAGTTGGTTAGAGCTCGACAACTGTCTCTCTGTAGCTCAGTTGGTTAGAGCTCGACAACTGGACTCTATAGCTCAGTTGGTTAGAGCGCTGCACAGGAATAGCAGTGCTGCAGGTTCAATTCCTGCCAGGGACCTAAAGTTGCATTTCTCGCTTCTGTTCCTGATTAGGTCTAATAAACGTATGCATATTTCCACTTGACAATTTCCATCTACATTACCCATCAAATACTATTCAAAGACAAACGTTGCCTATTTTAAATTGACCACCAAACTTTTCCATCATTTTCCCCCAGGAAAACACTACGCAAGACACTGTGCATAGCAGATGACATTCTCCAGATGTCTTTACTCAAAATCCGCAGTCTTTGCGAAGAACAATGTAGTAGCTTACAGCACGAGCCTGCGAAGATGTTGTTTATCGATGAGAAGTTTGGAGGACAAACGTTTACTTTGGATGAGTTTGTCGCAGAGTCTTCGCAACAAGCTGATCGTGTAAATACACAGCTCCAGGCTTTGAGATCTACATGCTTGTCAATCACTGCAGATGCTTGTCAAGTAAGTAACTACCATACAACGTATATCATACGCAATGTATAAGTGGTAGATAAAGCATGAGCGGTCGTGTTGTATCAGATATACCTGTACAAACTCAAGCCGAAGGCGAGAGGGTTACAAGAGAGCTTAAGATGTGGTAAGTCTAGTACGCGGGCGTGACAATAAACACACCCTAAATTCGTAGTGTCAGCAACATGGGTAAAAATATGGATTCTTTTTGTCAACTAAGGTGCTGATTACATGGTGCCGAGCTGGCCCGGTTAACCGGGCTGACTCGTTTGTTTAGGACCTTACTGTGGTTTTAAAACTCGTGTAAAATAAATTTGTGATAAATAATTGGTTTATTATAGATGCAAAATCATCCTAAACCCGATTTAAAACTCATTTTGCGGCCCAAGGAAGATTTTCGTGACATTTTTCAGCCCGGTTAACCGAGCTGGCCCGGTCCATGTAATCAGCCCCTAAGAAGGAATTTTGTCACGTCCGCGTACTAAATTTAGCTCATCTTAAGTTCGCTTGTATGTCTGATATACAACACGGACGCGAATGCTTTATATAGCTTGTGAGACGTCTCGATGAGAACATTTGTATTCTTCAACAATATAAAAGAAACGAATGATATTTGGTGAGAAAATTAAATTTAAAGGTTATGTAAATCAGCATGATTTTCTATCAGATATGTATCATGATTTCTTTTGTGTTTTCTTCATGAATTATTAATGGTTCACAACACGTTTTAAATCACGTTGTGTATCACAAGAAATGTATATCACGTTTTCAGCAACGTTGTATGTCAGCCGCAATATATAACATATCTTAAATCACGTTCTATTTTACGCGAAATGTATATCACGTTGTATGTCTTAACTCTTACGTGAAATGTATAACACGTTTTAAATCACGTTGAATTTTACACGAAGACGTAATGCTCAAGACGGTTTATTGTAATTTTTCAGAGTGTGATTGAAAGACATACTGGATTGTTAGAGTGGATAAGATCAGAACCCGGACCTTCAGGTAACGAAATAATTACCATGTCTCCATCTACAAAAAAACATTCAATCAGTGATGAATTTACTGGACGGGGGGCTTCCCCCCCTGTTAGCCTTGGCAGGGGGGAGAGGGTGCTAATTACATAAAATCCAGTTTTGCAATTTAGAAGAGCAATATCCTGTTACCATTACCACAATAATGCCCCTGACCCTATGATTCGCCCATTCTACACTGCTGTGCGTAGCTCCAAATGATTATGGACTTGGTCGATTATGGACTCGCCCCCCTCGCCGCCCTCTCAGTAATAGATCTGGATGAAGCCATCTCTGCATTAACGGAATGTTCTGTGGAATAGGATGCTCCAAATTCAGAGTGTTTACTCATCACATGTGCTGCATAATAACATAGAGAATGAGAAAATGGCAGTATACAGTATGTACAGTATAGGGTATATGTATTTAACATGAAATGATGTTCTCTGTTTCAGCTGTAAAGCCAAGCTACATTCAGATAGCACAATGGCGTTCAGTCCTCACGAGGCTATTCAAGTTTGTCCGAAGTGTGGATTTTGTTATCCTTGAACTTCTACGTCGTCTCGTTGTCAGGGCAGCTCGCACGTTGTTAACCAAGATACGAGCTTCTTCAGCTAAGCAGTATCCATGGCAACATGATGCTGACGACAGCATTACACCACATGATGAGATACCAAGCTGTCCACCGGCTATGCTGACAGTTAGGTTGGTGTTGACTGTACCTCGAGCAGAAGTGATTGAAGACACTTCCTCTGTTGGGGAAAAAGGTATTTTCATATTATTTAATATTAGTATAATTACATAGGTGATTATTGAAAATTCTCCACGCTGATTGGTTGCCGTTGAGGTGATTATTACGCGATAATCACCTAAGCGATTTTCAAAATGGCGGCCGAAGCCTTTTTGTCAATTAAATGACAAAGAAATGTGTATTTTCTTATTTTTTCCAAATAATCACCTATGAAATTATACTAAAACAATTATTCACCTCAGGCTCGGTGATTATCGTGAATAAAACCTCGACTTCGTCTCGGTTTTTATTCACCGATAATCACCTTGCCTTCGGCGAATAATTGTTAAATATACATGAAAAAATTATGCAGTCACATGCGTGCGGAATAGTTAATTTTAATGCAAATAATTTTAATAGAAAATCTACTACAAACGCCAGCCATTTTGTCACTTGTAAATGTTTGGGTTTTTTGTATTATTTTCTGCTAGAAATGGCTGTATCTTATAATCATGCAATGAAATTTGCACTGTATTTCATTTTTGGGCACTCTATTTCGAAAAAAGTGCACTGCGCTCTTAAGGCCATGTTACACGGTGCAATTTTTCTTGCGACTTGCAATGCAATTCTACTCTTGCGAGATGTTAATTAGTGAAATCAGTGAAGAATTTTCGATATGTTGAGAAAACATCAGCGGAGTGTAATGAAGACTCGTATTTGGCAATTTTACATCTCTCAAGAGTATAGAATTGCATTACAAGTTGCAAGAAAAATTGCACCGTGTAACTGGCCTTTACATGAAAAAATTTCTCAATTCTGATTGTCTATATTATTTATTATTTATTATTTGTGTTATAGTTTTGATAAATAACCCATGATTCCACATAATTCCTCACTATGTCCACACAACTCCAAATTTATAATCGTCTCATGTTAGCAGAACCGTGCGAGTTTTTGTAGGGTTCCATTATTGTCATATGCTTGAACTATCTGAACAGCAAAATAACACTTTGAGTTTTGTATTGCGAAACTTCCATTGATTAGCTACTAACTTCCTGACAATTTAGGGACCTTCAGTCCATAGTCAAACTGTTTTCAGTCTTATTAGACTCCCACGTTTTAGAAATCATATCGTCGTGGAAGTTCTGAATGCTATCGTGGCAGACGAGTTCAACCTTTTCTTTATCATGATTGATTTCTAGCTTTTTCTTCCCACCACTAGGTCTTCTTTTCCTCATCACCGTCCTTCCTTTTCACCTTTGCCCCGTGTTCAACACGTGCATTGTTACTTGTTTCTAGGAACGGCGGATTCATCGGAAGAAGGTGGTAGAACCAGTGCGTCAACTACAGCTTCAGCAGTATCTCAGTCTACTTTACCAAGCAGTTTGGTCAGTTTAAATCCCAGCAAAGAGGTACGCAAAATAAAACTTTTACTTGGAGTAACATCGAGTCACATTTGTATTCGTAAAAAAACCCACTGGAATGGGTTTTTAGACACTTTTTCTTAGTTTACCAAACTTTTTTTTTCATTTTAAGTCCCGATATAAAATTTTTTGCAAACTTTTCAGTTGAAAAAACAATTCGCACTCCCTGCAACCGCGCGAAATTCCTTGCCTCAGGAGTCTGGGACCAACCAAAATGCCCTTTTCAATGCGCCATTTTGTGGAGACAATTTTTTTACTGAGAAAAGATAGGAGCACGCATTCTATGTCTATTATTTCTATGTAGAGACCTTACGATTTAGGACGGCAACGGCTACCAATACAATAAATCTTTCAAAAGAATTGAATAATTACAATATATGAATAATTTAGACATTGTCCTCGCTCTGTTTACAACGCCAAATCACAGATTTTCACGTCTTGATACAACGGCTGCATTCCAAGCCGCAACAAGTGCAACTTCAAACTGGGTTCCACAGAACTCTTCCATGCAAACATAAAACCCATGTCTTCAACTTCTAAGACTGTATTAAATTCATACGATTGATAATATACCACGAATTATCTTTACTACCATTTATTTGAAGGAGTTTGTTTTGGCCGTCGTCGTCGCGTTGCCGTCCTAAAATCGTAAGGTCTCTCATGCGTAGTGAGACCCACTTACGCATGTTACTAAAGATCCAATAATTTTCTTTTCAGAATTTTATTACTGCAATTCAAGATGTGATATCAAAGTTTCAAGATGTCGTCTCATTATTCAAAAGCTTGCTAACAGAAGAACATATCAAATCACTTGTCACTCCACCAGCCACTGATCTCGTACATTCACTAAGACAAACTGACATGGAGGATGATTTTGATGTATTGGAATGCTGGCCTGATGTGGAACTGATCTTTGGTAAAGATCCTGATTATCAAGAGACTGTCAAGTCTTTAATTGCATTGGTGAAGAAAGAGATTCATCGAGTACGAGCTTTTTCTGAGGTAAACACGATGTACACGCACTAAATACTAGCAATAAATAATCTTCTGCTCATTGTCATCAAGGTACATGATTCACGTAATATATTGATTGCCTTGCACTTTGTAAGAATCGACTGTAAGAGAGAATACACTCTTCACTGTTTTCAACTTTACCATACCATACCATACCATACCATACCATACCAGATCTTACTATACCAATGATATAATCCCATACCGGATCATACTAACTACACTATACCATACCATCTACACCATACCATACCATACCATACCATACCATACCATACCATACCATACCATACCATACCAGATCTTACTATACCAATGATATAATCCCATACCGGATCATACTAACTACACTATACCATACCATTCTACACCATACCATACCATAC